ACGTTGCACCACTAAACACTGAGCAAGGCCCCAGCCTGACACCAGACACCCCCAGAAGTGGCCCAAGTTCATGAAGAACCATCGGCAAAGGCAGACAAGTTCAAGAAAAGAGAACCAATGGCACAAGGAGCACTAAACATAAACCCAAAAACCAAACAAAGCAAAGAACGGGAGGTCCGGAAGTGCCATGGGTTGAATACGTTTCATAAAAGAATATGGCTTTCAAGAGACACCGTCTGGGCGGGAACGACTGGACAGGGCAGTAAAGAACAGAAAAGCCACGGTGAGCGGAATGCAAGACTGGAAAAGAGAGAAGGCTGAGCTGGGGAGGCTTATTCTTCCCCAGAGATGCCATTTATGAGAGAAAAGGGAAGTCAAGACTCACTCCCAGCAGCACTGGTGGGATTGGCAGCAGAGAGAATTGCGTGAGTAGGGGTAGAAAGATTGGTTACGTCTTGAAGCTGGCTGAGGACTGAAGACCGCCGGCGCACAGCACCCTGAACTGAACCGCTTCTCTTGAAGGTACTCACTACCTCCATCTGTGGGAGAGAAAATGAGATAAAGTTTGGCTTGCACTGTTGTCCAGGCTATCGCGGAGGGGAGGGCTGGGCAAGGATAGGGACCACCACTGGGCACATAGGGTGACAGCAAAGCCTCACCAGGTCACCCTGCTCACTGGGAGCTGGCAATGTTTGGACAGGGCCCTGACTGATGCCAGCCTCTGTGCCACCCACCAAGAGAGGGTTTGCTGAGCAGATGGTTAGTGGTCATGAGATTGGGAAGGGAAGGGGGTCACAAGTCAGGGCACACTGCAAACATGTCAGAAATGCCCCTTGCAAGCCACTTGTCAGGAAGTACTTCATAGTTATCAACCTTTTTTTTCCCTCCCCAACACACCTGAGGGACATGACAGGCTCCTATTAGAATCCACCCTGCTTCCTCTAAACCCGGAGGACTTGTGCCCCATGCTGTGTCTGCCTGCCCATCTCCGCCAGCTTCTGTGGCTCATCCGAGTGACTGGGCGGGGGGCGCCCCCTCGAAACCTCAGCAGAAGAATAGACCTAGCAGAGGAGGGGATTCTCCCACCGACTGGCAGCCATGGCTTCGCTTTGTCCCCACTCTTACAGCTTCCTACAAGTTGAAGGGGAAGCGAGGCTGGGGAAACTGAGGCCTGCAGGAGGGCCTTGACCCAGTGTCTTTGGATTTCCTGACCTGCCATTGGCTGGCATGGGGACTCATGTCCATCTTGCTGGAGATGATGTGAAGAGCAAAGCCAGTGTGCGTATCTGGAGCCCAAAGCTACCTCCTCCCGCCCGAGCCCTGCAGTGCTATGTGATGGCCACCAGGTTCACCTGGGTGTCTTGATACGGGCCAGGGCTTCATGGAAGAAGGCAGCTTGAGTGTTCAGACTCCCCCTGCACCAGCCAAAATGAGGATGTACGCCAGTTCAACCCTTGACACGCTGTGGAAAGGACTCCTCCTTCTCAGCCTGCCTAGTCCCCTTCTGCCCAGCACATCCCACTCACTCGCTTGTCACAAGGGGTACCTCGTGGCACTGGCTGCGACCATGAGGAACGCATATTGAGTATATCAGCACACGGAAGGAGGATGGTTGATGTGATGGCGTCGTGGTGGCTTGCAGGGGGATCTCCTGTCTAGATTCAGGAGAGGACTCTTGCTGCGGCAAAAGTGATGAGAGGTAGGAAAGATGTCTTTCCTGCCTCGGATTTGCATTGGTCTGGCCTGGCTACAGACGGTGTCCCAGTGGGAGAGCCCCATCAGTGACAATACCACAGTCGCCACCACCCCATACCTGGAAGCCCAAGAGCTGAGCCAGGAGCAAGGCCCAGTCGCTACTGAAGCTTCTTTTTGGGTTATTATGGGATGCAAAAAAGACAGACCGAGTCATGAGCACTTCAAAAAGCTACATGTTCTGGGTTTGAAGGACTCTTTTATTCTGGAATGACACCCTGTCCATCTGGTGCGTTGATATGTTAGTATGGAACCATGGTGCGAGCAGGTTACAAAATCCCTTCACTTAGCAACAGAAAAGCATGTGCCGGCCTCCAAAATCTGGGGAGCGATTTTTGTGGTTCCCAAAACACAGAAACCTGGGGCCAGCTGCCTAGGAAATGTTTTTCTTGGCTTGGGGCATACGCACAACCTGACGGGCTTCTCCCAAGCTTTACCTCCATTTTTCAAGCAGGTATTTCGAATCAAAGAGAGCAGATGCTCTTACATAGCTGGCTAAAAGAACCAACTGGTTCAGCATTCCTGAGAAACATGGTGAGTTGGATGTGACAAAGTCAAAGCGAAAAACCATGGGGGTCAGGAACCCATGAAAGAGTCAGATCGGCTGTGCCGAGGGGAAGGAGTGCACCCTGTTTCCTCATAGGTAAAGCAGGGGACTCACCAGCCCGTGTCTCTGTGAGCACCGACAATTGAAACAGCCTGGAACTCTAACCGATGGGACCCACTTCTACTAGCCAGGCTGCAGTGGCCCCCACATACAGAGGACAGGAGACACACAGGTGGTCAGTGTACCACTGACACCACTGATGCTTCAGGTCAGGGCAGGGCTGTTGTCTCAGCTGCTGGAAAAGCTAACGTTGCCTTTGGCTGCAGTGGCAGGAGTGAAGTGGGCCGCCGAAGGGCAAGGTCCTGCTGTCCTCACCCTTAACCCCAGGCTTGGGCAGCTCTGGGCTCTGGGCTCTGTAGCACAACAGCCCATCTGGGGGCAGCTGGGGGGCTCATAGGCATGGTCTCGTAGAAGGCACAGTTGGGCCTCTAGCAGGGCACTGGGGCAGATGTGAGTGCTGCTTCTAACATTTGATGTGTTTAAGATTTAGCACAGAAATATATTGCAGGGATTGAGAAGAGACTATCTGTGCTGCACCCCTGGCCTGTCCAGGCATTGTGCTTGAGGCATTAGCCCCTGCACACGGGAGGGGAGACACGGGCCATCTGGCGACAAAGCCTGCTCCCCTTCCTCACCGGGGCTCTCTGTGTTCTGACCAGGCCAGGCCATAGGTAACAGTGTTCGGAGTCCAGACCTAAGACACCCTTCCCAGGCTACGCTGTGTTGGGTGCCTAGGATGCCAGCCTCATCTCCCAGTTCTCAGTTGGAGAGGCCCCTTGGACTCCTTGGGGGCTCTTTAAATGTGGAGTTCTTTGGTGCCCCTTGACCTAACCTTGCATGATCGTGGTCTCTGGGGACTCTGTAGCTCTGGAAAGTTTTGCAAGGAGCCCGTGTGAGTGAGAGGAGTCAGAGAGGGCTTCGTAAGCATGAGGGCCTCAGGGGATGCAGCGGGAGTTGGGGAGGTGCAGTGGCACAGGCGGGCAGAGGGCATGATTGGAAAGGCAGCCGGGGGTGCAAGGGTGCAGGAAGGTTGGGGTGACACCAAGAGGCAGAGGCTTGAAGGTCATGGTCAGGAGCGTGGACTTCATCCTTAGGACAATGGAGAGAGGCTCCACCAGTCCCACTGCAGAGGGCGGCGTTGGAGGGGCTGAACTGAGCCAAGGCAAGCAAAGGAGGCTGAGGCCTGGGGAGTGGGGCTGCCCTGAGGCTGGGTCCCTTGAGACTAGGCCCTTGAGATCACTGGGAGGGAATACAGGACCCAGGGCACCGAGAACAGCTTTGTGCAAATTGCATGGATGATTCCTTGGGACAAGCCCTTGGTGATGTGTGACAGACCCTGGGAAGGGGTGTGGCCTCAGTCCCCGCCTATTTCAGCTTGAGCTGGGGCTGGTGGCTTAGGCGGGCCCTGGCTCCGCAGCCAAGTGTGCAGTGGTGTCCTTACTCTGGCAGGACCTCAGGGAGGAGAATCAGTCGCTCCATGTCAGGGGTATTGCAACTGGGGATCCTGGACAGGGCCTGGAGGGGCAGGGAGTGATGGCTGTGACCTGAGAGACGGTGGCCCAGGCCTTGCAGAAGGAGGTGGAGTGTGAAGCATGCTGGGTGGCCCTCTGGAGGCTGCTGTGGGAGGGGCAGGCCATGAAGGAGAGGCTGCAGGGGCTGCAGTGGGAGAGGGGCCAGGACGCAGGTGGGGTCCCCATGGGCTCTTTCTTCCTCCCGGGCCAGGATTTTCAGCACTCAAGTGCCACAGCAGGGTGGGGCAAGGGCTGAGCAGGAGGTGGGGGTGCCAGGCGGGTGAGGGCAGCAAGTCTCCAGGCAGTGCCCACAGCAGGCAGGAACGATGCAGGGATAGCCCGACCCCAGGAGCCGGAAGGGAGCCTTGTAGACCTAGGCGAGCGCCGTTTCTGGGGAGTGGTGGGCAGATGCCAGGCTGTAGTGGGATCACAAGAGAGTTCCAGGGAGGGGTGTGGAGACACAGCGAGTCTGGAGCATTCTGGCAAAATTGTTGGCCGGGAGGAGATGGGAACAAGGGAGCAGGGTAGCTCTGGCAAGCATCTGATACTGGTGGCAGTGGTGGCTATCTGACTTCAGAGAGGAACACAGCTGACGCCCTTCTTCTTGGCCAGCCCTAACCCTTGGTGATTTGGATGAGCAGAAAGGACCAACTCGGTGGCCAGAGTCCACTTCCCAAATGAAGTCTCCCCATCGCATTTACAGTGTCATCCAGCGAACCTTGAGCTCACTGGTGGCTGTTTGAAATGGGCCTGTCTTCCCGAGAATGTCACTTGCCTATGACCTGGGGCCGTTCCCGCCAAGTAAAGGGAGCCCCAGCAGTGATGAAGACAGTGCTGGCCTGTGCCTCTGAGAGAGCCATTAGTCACCCACACACACCTTTAGCTATGGGGGATGCCTGGGCTCTGAAGGAGGTGTCAGGGAGAGGCAACCTCAGTGCCACAGCCATCAGCGGACACACCCCAGAATGGCAAAGGGGACACTGGCAGCTATTTTTGTGACCTTGGCAGCAAGACCAGAGGGTTTCCCTGTGGGTGTTGGGTGCAGACGGCCAGCTCTCGGCTGCTGATGGCCAGCTTGCCTCTACCCACTTGGGGTGGAAGTGCCAGGGCGACAGTGAGGCGGGGCTTACCTGTGGCTGAATCCGGTTCAGGCCCCAGAACCAGAGGATCTGGCCCCTGCGGAGCTCCTGCTCGGCGTGGTCGATCTCTTCCTCGCCTCCGGCCAGCTCCTCGTTGGTCATCTCGTCCTTCCCAGGCCCATGCCCAGCTTCCTTCAGGCACTTGAGCTGACTGGTGAGGATGGTGGCAATGACCTGGGAGAGCCACATGGAAGTGGCCATGAGAGCTGGGCTGAGCAACATCTGCCTAGCATAAAGTCCCCCTCCAGAGGGAGACGCCGGCCTCCTTCCTCCAAAGGATGTCATGTTTTTGTGTGTGTGACTAAGCAAAGGGAGTAAAGCTAGAGCAGCTCCCCGGGAACTGGCAGCCCCTGGAGAACCGGTGGAGTGTTCCCTCAGGGGGCTGAGATGCATTATCAGGAGTATGTGGAGCTCTGGGCCTGCCCCTCCTCCATGGAGTTCCACATAGCCAAAGGGCCCAGGGAGAGGCCCGAGTGGAGTGCTGTGCAGCAAGGGCTCCTGGGAGGGATTGCTAAGCCCCTGGAACATCCTGCCTGACAGCAGCATGGCTCACCGGGGCTGGGGGCTCGGGACCGTGCCCCATAGTCTAAACTAACAGCTGGACCTCCAGAGGGCTGGAGACGGAGGTCAGCCATGTGACCACGGCATGGCTCTGCGAACCACCCCAAGAAAAGCTCTGGACACTGGGGCCCAGGTGAGCTGCCCTGGTTGACAATACTCCCTGCATGTCGCTCCACACCATTGCTGGGAGACACAGGTGCTGTTTGCGCAGCTCCCCTGGGAGAGGACAGCTGGAGCTCTGGCCTAGTCTCTCCTAGAGAGGGCATCCCCTGGGGGAAGACCAGCCTAGAGAAGACCTGTGCATTGGGGGCTAGGGAGGGTGGGGCGTGACAAGGAGGGTGACAGCTGGAAAGAGTGACTGGATAAGGAGCCTGGCAGGAGTGAAGAGAGGGCATGGCTTTGCGTATTGCAGGCCACTGGGAAGTTGGGGGAACAGTATAGAAGGACGCAGGGGAAGCCACAGAAAGGGATGATGGGCATCTGGAGTTCTAGAACAAGATGTCTCGTCTGTCTTGTGTGTCTATGCCAGTGTCTTTGTCCAATGTGGCCAGGAGGGCCTTGAGGACTGGTTCACAGAGATTCCCTTCTATTCGTTTTTCACTTGAACATGTTTTATCTTTGTAACTGAACAAGGTTAAAAATGAAAAGGACAACCCAGTAGCCCTGAGAGGCCAAGCTACAGGCTGGTACCACGTTCCTGGCGGGGGGACCAGAAGACCAGTGGCCTGGGAGCTTGAAGAGCAAGAAGAGGGCCTGGCACCCCTCTGGGCTGTGGTTAGAGTCCAGGTTTTGGGAAGTGAAGGGACTCCATGGAGCAACCAGGTTCAAGTATGATTGGGAGGTGAGGTGCAGTAGCAGAGGGAAAGGAGAATTCTGAGAATTCTGAACATGAAACAGAGGAACTGGGTGGGCTGTCCCCGAGGACACTAATGCTGGGGCAGATCACTTGAGGTCAGGAGTTCAAGACCAGCCTGGCCAACATGGCAAAACACATCTCTACAAAAAATACAAAAATTAACCTGGTGTGGTGACATGTGCCTGTGGTCCCAGCTGCTTGGGAGGCTGAGGTAGAAGGATCACTTGAGCCAGGGAGTTCAAGGCTACAGTGAGCTGTGATCATACCACTGCACTCCACCCTGGGCAACAGAACAAGACCCTATCTCAAAAAAAAAAAAAAAAAGAAAAAAGAAAAAGAAAAAGAAACAAAGCCAGAATGCTATGGACTGAACTATGCTCTCCAGTTCATGTGTTGAAGTCCTAGTGCCCAGCGTGGCTGGATTTGGAGTAAGGAAGTGATCAAGGTTAAATGAGGTCACCAAGGTGGGGCCCTGATTCTACTGGATTAATGCTCCTAGGAGAGGAGACACTAGAGAACTTGCTCCCTCTGTCTATCATGTGAGCACAGAGTGGGGAGGCGGCTGTCTGCAAGCCAGGAAGGAGCCCTCACCAAGGAACTGGCCCGCTGGCTCCTTGGCCTCGGATGTCCAGCCTCCGGGACTTTGAGAAAGTAAGTGTCTGTTGTCTAAGCCTCCCAGTCTATGATATTTTGTTATGGCAGTCGGAGCGGATGAAGACAGATAAGCGGATCCTGAATACCCAGGCTGTTTCTTCCTGATCTAATTGTGGGGTCCTAGACACTTCCCAGTGTGCAGCTTCAGCTGCAGCCCACAGAACTCGATGTAGGGCTCTCTGTCCTTTCCGTCAGGTCAAAATATTTCCTAATTTCTCTGGAGACTTTCCTTTCACCCCATGGATTATTGATCAGGGTGCTGTTTGATTGATTTAAAATATGTGGTGATTTCCCAAACTACCTACCCATTTTGAAGGGGCAATTTTTGGCTCTTATCATAGAAAGGGGAGCTGTGGGCAGTTTTCCTGGGCCCTGTCATATCCCAGCCATGTTCCTTTGCATTATTTTGCTGACACCTTCCCTTGTGGCCTGTCCCTAGGTCCTGATGTGTCACAGGCCTGAGCCCGCAGTGTGCTTCCTGGGGTGTGGACCCCAAGACTCTGAAGCAGGGTTAGGGCAAGTGGGCCCATCACAGAAGCTGTCTGCAGGGCAGTCTGGAATGAGGGGCAGGGCTGTCACTCACCTGTCCCCAGACCAGCTCCCCAACACCAACAAACAGGCACCAGAGCCACTGTTCCGTGGATAGTGGGGAGCAGCTGAAGGGCTTCCCGCCGAACTGGACAATGACAATCTGCAAAGGGCAAGTGGGAGAGAGGAAGGTCCAGCTGCGGCTCCTGAGCCACCCTTGTTCTCCAGCCCCTTGAAGGCCCAGCCACCCTGGTCGGTTTGCCCAGGTGCATAGGCTGCTCCCTGCGAGAGAACCACAAGGCCGGGGGTGCCATGACAGAGCAGCACATGGCCTCCATCGCCTCTGGGTGCCAGGCACCTACTGACTCCAGCCTGGGAATTGGGCCCAGCTCCACTGACCATGCTCCTATTTTCAGCAAGACAGGCTGTGACACCCACACTGTGGGCACACTGGATACGCCTCATTCTGGAGGACCCTAGAACCTGCTGGGGTCACCTTGCCTTGGCCTCCTGCCTCCTCAGGAGGCATTCAATTCCCAGAGGCGAGCTTTCCAAATGTAAACTGACCCTGTCCTCTGTTGGACTGTCACAGTCCGGGCCACTATCCCCTTGTGCTCATTACCCAAGACCAGGTACCAGACAGCCAGGGAGCACCCCTATGCCCTAGAACTGCTTCAATGATGCAACCTAGCCAGTCCTGAGCCTACCAGCCCTGCCTCACCCGCTCCTCCCCGAGGGAACCACAGCAAAGGCTCTTGTCCCCAGCTCTCACACCCTGCCTCCTGCTTGGTACTCTCCCATGTGGGCTCCTATGGTGTGGCATGTGCTCTCCTCGGGATCTGTGAGTCATAAACTGTCTTTCAATAGCAACTGTCTCCTGACCTGTTGGACTTACTATACCTCATTTTTTCTACAAATACACTATATTTTAGAACACTTAGCCCCTCCTCGACAGTGGGGCTGACCAGCCTGTCCACAGCACTGTGTTAAGCAGAGGTTAGTGTGTCAACATTGGGCACAGAGGGCATCTCCAAAAGAAACTTCTGGAGCTATGGCAGCCTCATGCCAAGGAATTAAGTGCTAGAAATGGGAATGGCAGACCTAGAGGGAGCCAGGGAGGACTCCTTTCAGCATCTGTGAGAAAACTTAGTTCTGATGAAGGCTCATGAAACCCTTCTGGAAGCCAGCACGCTAACCCAGGGCAAGGCCAGCAATGTTTGGAAGATGAAGGCCCGCTCCAACATGCAGAGAGGACAGGGGGCTACAAGAAAGCCAGGTGGGGTGGGGCTCCTTCTGGGAGTGGAGGTGGGGAGGCCAGTACTAGGGGTGGACATGAGGCCTTGAAGCCCACCACCTCCACCTTTTGCAAGTGGCAGATGCCAAGAGTAGAGCCGCCCCTCCTACCTGAATCCCGAAAGTGCCCAAAACGATGGTGCAGAAGTGGGGTTGCTGAAGATGCCGTTGAACATGTTCCTCTCGCCATAGATCTTGCAGGCATTGATCTCGTTGAAGAGCTGCATCATGACGAAGGTGTTGAAGATGATGGTGTAGTGCTCTGAGGGTGGCGAGTGCAAGGGCGCATTCCTCCCGCTGTCGATGTCAAAGAAGAGCTCCCCTGGAAAGCAACATTCCCCACTCAGGCAGTCACCTCAGTGCATGACTCAGGATCGAGACTGCCATGTGTAGCTCCCGAGATGGGTCCCTTTTCTCAGGGGACGGCCACTTCCAGCTCACAGCCAAGGCCCAAGGCAGCCACACCTACCCCAGGCTCAACCAACCAGAGTCGTGAGACCCCAATGGGCCAGGGGCCAGACCCTGAGCCTGAGGGCAGGAAGGAAGAGGTTAAGAAGGGATGTTCTTAATGCTGGCTATCCTCAGATGCCCTCCTTCTCTTCCTCTCGCTTGCAAGCCCCCCTCCCTCAGAGCTTCCAGCGCGACACCCCAGTCACTCCGCAGGAGCAATCTTCACAGGGTAAATGTGGGCCGTTCTGTTCCTAGGGTTACCGTGGCCACTCTGAGGCTGGGTAGAGGCTGCCTACTCTACACAGCCGTCGGCAGGATGTTAAGACATGAACTGTTTCTCAGCTGCTCAGGGGAATGGGGGGAGAGGCTGAGAAAGAGCTATAGGCTACCAGCAGGCCTGGCTGCAGGGTTGCTAGCCTGGCCCATCTGCTCCTTCCCCTGTGTGCCGTCCAGTCAAGAACTTCAGCGTCTCACCCCCTACTGGGCCCGGAGACACAAGTGGAGACAAACCAGACAGAATCTGAGCCCAAGGTGGTGGCGACAGTGTCCCGAAGGCCTCCCGTGTGCCCCTGGCCAGCCTACCGACAAACAGTAGGGTGAAGATGATGGCGAGCTGGTACACGGCATGGCCCAGAATGTTCTTCATCATGGTGCGGGAGATGAGGGGCTTGTCATGGCCGTACAGCTTCCGCAGCAGCAGCGACTCCGTGGGTGGCTCCGTCGCCAGGGCCAGAGAGGCAAACGTGTCCATGATCAAGTTCACCCATAACATCTGCACGGCTTTGAGAGGAGAGTCCTACGGAGAGGAGGCAGTCACCTTTCCATGGGCCGCCTGCCTGGGAAGGTTGGGGGTGGAAATGCAGTAGCTCCTGGGGGCTCCTCATGGGGTCCACATCACCAGGATTTCATGCCCATGAAAACAGACATCTCCATCCCTACATTGCCTTTACGCTAGCAGGGCATTTTCTTTGGGCTGTCATGTGCCCACCTCTCTTCTCTCACCTGGCAGCAGGTGTGCTCCAAATCCCTCGCAGGAGGTTAAAAACCCCAGACCACAAAACAGCCTGACGATGGGGTCTGCCACTGGGGGCAACAGAGTGAGGGCTGCTCTCCTTGTCTCCTGCACCTCAGGGGCAGGAGGATGCAGAAACTCTGAACTGGACCTTCCTTCTCAGCTCCTCTGAGTTGTTGGTTAAAAATCAGCCTCACAGAAGCCAGACACACAAGGCCACGTACTGTCTGATTCCATTCATAGGAAACTTCCAGAACTGACAAATCCATAGAGAGAGAAAGCAGATGAGTGGGTGCCTGGGGCTGGGGTTCAGGGAGTAGAGAGTGACTGCTCACGGGGTTTGGGTGTCCTTTGGGGGTGGTGATGAGAGTGTTCTGGGAATAGACAGTGGCAATGGTTGCTCAACATTATGGAGGAATATAAACCTCTGAGTTAGGTACTTTCATAAGGTTCAAATGGTTCTGGTGAAGTTTGTTAGGTGATTTTTATCTCAATTAAAAAAAATTTTTTGAAAAGACCAAGTTAATCAGCAGGCAATTTAAATCCCTGTCAGCAACAAATAGGTATTTATTTGCCCCCCTCTTTCTAAGGGGGGGGGGCGAAGAAAATCTGGACACTCACCAATGGGGAAAATGGGACTATTGAGAAAGGGTTCCCATGGGATGCACAGCCCATGCAGAAATTCATACACAGATGCTCCTGGCAGCACCTTTCACAGGAGCCAAAAACTGGGAACAAGCCATGTGTCCATCAGGACAGATGTACATAATGTGGCAATCTGTGCCATGGAGTGTTATGAAGCCATGAAAAGGCAGAAGGTCCTGCCCTCTGTGTGTGTGAGCCTGAAAACGCGGTGCTAAGCGAGATGCCAGACACAAGAGGCCACATATGATTTGATCCCACAGTAATTAAACGTTCGGAACAGGCAAATCCATAGACCCAGGAAGCCCATCAGTGGTTGCTGGGGGCTGGGATGTTTGGGGGAGAAATGGGGAGATGACTGCTCAAGAGCACAGGGTTTCTTTTTAAGATGATGACAGTCTTCTGGAACTAGATAGAGCCGATGGTTGCACAACATGGTGAATGTTCTCAAAATTTGAGTACTGAATTGTATACTTGAAAATGGTGAATTTTTGGCATGTGAATTTGATGTCAACTAAAATAATCTGCAGCAAAGAAAACAAAACCCTCACTCTCACAATCTGGCCCTCAGGCCTGAGCCCAGGTGTCCTACAGCAGGGGCGCAGCAGCCCCCAGTACCCACCTGAGTAATGCAGGCACCTGTGAAGGCCACGATCACGGCCACCACATTGACCGTCAGTTGAAACTGCAGGAACTTGGAGATGCTGTCATAGACGTTACGGCCCCACATGACGGCCTTGACAATGCTGGTGAAGTTGTCATCGGTCAGGATGATGTCAGAGGCCTCCTTGGCCACGTCGGTCTCTGCGATGCCCTGCGGGGTGACACACACTCACACACACAGAGTGTTTGTGGGGGCCCCTTCCCCAGACCCCCCGATCACCTGGCCTACCTGGGCTGACTCCCTGCCCTCCCCTTCTGAATAACATCCCACCCCGCCCCCCAAAGCCAAGAACAGCATTGTTTTTGTTGTTGTTGTTTTTATGCAACACATTCTAGTACTATGAACAGTAAGTTGTCACATGTCACAGTGAGGGGGGCTTTGCTCATAAACACATAAAGCCCAGCTGCCACCACGTGGCCACCAAGCAGTGTGGTCTGTTTTAGCACTCCGGAGATGCTTGCTGGCTAAGGAGCCGTGGGAAGTCCTACATGAGGACACCCTGGGCGGGTGGGTCTTTGCCCATGCAGGCGCAGCTGAAGCTGTGCCAAGCTGCTCAGCCCTCTCCTCTGCCCCAAGCCTGGCCCTGTGACAGCTGCCACCTCTTGAAGCTTGGGCGGGAGCTCCCTTCTGGGCTAAAGGTGCTGGGAAGGACTGGGCTGGGTTCCCCGGGTGGCACTCCTTTTCGGTAGGGCAGGGAGAGGCGCTCGCCAGGTTGCTGCGTTCAGCGGCTGTTTTCAGTGGCTGTGGGGCCACTGTGGGGCTGCAACCTGCCATGCGGGTGGTGTCTGCAGGGCCACCCTACTCAGTGGGTGAGCAACAGGAAGGAAGTGCAGAGGAAGAGCACATCTGGGGACTCTGCTTACCTCATCTGGGGATGACAGTCCATTTAGAGAGGACTGGGGGTGGGCAATGCCATCAGTGATGAGCCCCTGCCCCCCATTCCCCTTCCTCTCCACAGTATGTCTGGGGCCCACTGTCACCTTGGGCATCACAGCAGATGCCTTTAACCACATGTCCCCTGACTGGCCAAGCCCATGCCGGCCCAAGTGGCCAGGATGTGAGAGAAAGAACCTTCAGGCACTCTGTAACCTGCCCCAACACTGGCTCCCACTTCCTGGTACAAAGCTAATGTCCATGGGACAGACGCTGGCCCCATCTGCCATGGTGAGTTGGGCTGGCACCAGGTGGCTTACCATGGCGAAGCCTACGTCCGCCTTCTTGAGGGCCAGCCCATCGTTGGTGCCATCCCCTGTCACAGCCACCACCTGCCGCTGCTCACCAGTGGTGCTGTCGATAATCCCTGCAAGAAAAATCAGGGCAGGGCAGGGCTGGGGCCATCTGTCACCACAACCCTGTGTAGCTATGGGGGTAAGTTGGCTGTGAAAACCCTTCAGGATTGCCCCGTCCTGACTGTCCCAGTCATCTGTGCTCCCTGTCACCTGGATCATCTCCTATCCCCAAATAAGTAAGCAAGTCTCACTGAGTGACAGGGCCAGGGTGGGAGGGTAGGGATCTGCTTAGGGCCTGGGGACACGACCCTGGGTCCCTGGCTCTAGACCCACTGCTTCTAGAGACTCGCTGTGTGACCTGGAGTGAGTCACTGGCCCTCTCTGAACCCCAGTTCCCTCATGGGCCCCTGCCCTGCTGCTCTGGGCTAATGGGACAAATGGACCCAGCTTCCTAGGCAGGCCCTGGGGACCTGTTTGGGAACCTGGCTTTTGGTGTCAGGAAGCAGACAACCTCAGGTTGGCCACCCCAGGAAAGGGGTGTGGGACCTCGGCTACCTTTAACCAGCGTGTGCTTGTCGGTGGGAGATGACCAGGCCAGCACCCTCAGCTTGGGCCACACCTTGTCCAGCCGCTCCTGTTCTATCTGAGGAGGGGAAGCACAAGGACGCTGCAGAGCTAGGGCGGGCACACAGGGCGATGGGGGAAGGAGAGGAGGGTCTGGGGTGGCAGACAGCTGGGTGCTACCTCACCTTTCTCGTTGCAGATCCGTCAGTTGAACTCCTTCCCTTCCAGGCACAGGAAGTCCTCCCAGGTCTGGATGATGCCACATTTGGCTGCGATGGCCCAGGCCATGTTGATGTTGTCTCCAGTCACCATGCGGACTGTGATGCCAGCACGCTGGCATTTTCGGATAGCTTCAGGGACCTAGAAGATATAAGAGAGGTGGGTGGGGTCATTGAGGCAAGACGTATTTTGGGCTGAAGCAGTACCCCTTCCTCCATCAGATCTGTGGCCGGCCCAAAGTCCAGCAGAGATGACAGTAAAGCCAAACCATGGGTCCCCATGCAGGGCCCCTGTGGAGGCATGGGCCCAGAGGAGGCCTAGAGGGTGGCAGGGCTGTCCCACCCCAGCCAAGCCGCAATGAGCAGGTGCTTGCCTCCTTCACTGTGTCAGGCCCTGGGAGTGCCAGGCCCTGGGGACCAGTGATGACACAGATCCAGGCCCTGATGGCAGAGGCATGGCAGGGAAAAGTCACTGGAAGCTTTACGCTGTTCAGGGGCACCATCAGACTCGCGTCTGGAAAGGTCACCTGGGTGACCATAGAAATCACCAAAAAGAAGCTTTCTCAGAAACTTCTTTGAGATACGTGAATTCATCTCACATAGTTACGCCTCACTTTCATGGAGCCTTTTGCAAGGACTGTTTTTGTGGAAACTGAAAAGTGATATTTTGTATCGCTTTGAAACCTATGGTGACAAAGGAAATATCCTCAGAATAAACAAGAAAGAAACTTTCAGAGAAACTGCTTTGTGAAGTGTGAATTCATCACACGGAGTCACACCACTCTTACAAGGAGGACTTTGCTAGCACTCTTTTTTTGGAATCTGAGAAGTGATATTTTGGATCGCCATGAAGACTATACAGACAAAGGAAATATCCTCAGATAAAAACAAGAAAGAAACTTTCAGAAGAACTGCCTTGCGATGTGTGAATTCATCTCACAGTGACACAACTCTTTCATGGAGGTGTTTGCTAGCACTGTTTATTTAGAATCACAGAAGAGATAACTTCAATAACATTGAATCCCATGGTGAAAAAAGAAATATCCTCATATACAAACTTGAGAGAAGCCTTCTCAGAAACTGCTTTGTGTTGTGAGAATTCACCTCACAGAGTTACACCATTGCTTTCATTGAAAAGTTTGCAGCACTGTTTTCACAGAATCTGCAATGAGATATACAAGAGTGCATTGAGACTTGAAATATCCTCAGATCAAAACAGGAAAGAAGCTTTCTGAGAAACTGCTTTGCAATGTGTGAATTCATCTCACAGATTTACACTACAATTTCGTGGAGACATTTGCTAGCACTGTTTTTGTGGAATCTGAGAAGTGATATTTTGGATTGCTATGAAGACTATACAGACAAAGGAAATATGCTCAGATAAAAACCAGAAAGAAGCTTTCTGAGAAACTGCTTTGTGATGTGTGAATTCATCTCACAGAGTTACACAAATCTTTCATGTAGTAGTTTGCTAGCACTGTTTTTGTGGAATCTGAGAAGTAATATTTTAGATCACTTTGAAGACTATGGTGACAAGGGAAATATCCTCAGATAAAAACCAGAAATAAGCTTTCTGAGAAACTGCATTTTGATGTTTGAATTAATATCACATTGCAACACCGCTACTTCATGCAGCCTTTTGCTAGCACCGTTTTTATGGAATATGAGAAGATATTTTGGATTGCTATGAAAACTATACAGACAAAGGAAATATCCTCAGATAAAAACCAGAATGAAGCTTTCTGAGAAACTTCTTTGGGATGTGTGAATTCATCTCACAGAGTTACACCACTGTTTCATGCAGCCTTTTGCTAGCACTGTTTTTGTGGAATCTGAGAAGTGATATTTTGGATCGCTGTGAAGACTATACAGACAAAGGAAATATCCTCGGATAAAAACCAGAAAGAAGCTTTCTGAGAAACTGCTTTGTGATGTGTGAATTCATCTCACAGAGTTACACAAATCTTTCTTGTAGGGGTTTGCTAGCACTGTTTTTGTGGAATCTGAGAAGTAATATTTTGGTTCATTTTGAAGACTATGGTGACAAGGGAAATATCCTCAGATAAAAAAACAGAAATAAACTCTGTGAGAAACCGCATTGTGATGTTTGAATTCATATCACATTGTAGCACCGCTAGTTCATGCAGTCTTTTTCTAGCACCATTTTTGTGGAATCTGAGAAGTGATATTTTGGATCTCTATGAAGACTATATGGACATAGAAAATATCCTGAGATAAAAACCAGAAAGAAGCTTTCTGAGAAACAACTTTGGGATGTTTGAATTCATCTCACAGAGATACACCACTGTTTCATGCAGCCGTTTGTTCGCACTAATTTTGTGGAATGTGAGAAGTGATATTTTGCATCACTATGAAGACTACATGGACAAAGGAAAAATCCTCAGATAAAAACCAGAAAGAAACTTTCTGAGAAACTGCTTTATGATGTGTGAATTCATCTCACAGAGTTACACACTCTTTTGTGGAGACTTTTGCTAGCACTGTTTTTGGGGAATCTGAGAACTGATATTTCAGATTGCTTTGAAGACAATATAGACAATGGAAATATCCTCAGACGAAAAACAGAATGAAGCTCTCTGACAAACTGCTTTGTGATGTGTGAATTCAACTCACAGTGTTACATCACTCTTTCATGGAAGAGTTTGCTAGCACTGTTTACATGGAATCATGGAAGAGATATCTTGGGTAACATTGAATCCCATGGTCAGCAAAGAAATATCCTCAGATACAAACTGGGGAGAAGCCTTCTTAGAAACTACTTTGTTGTGAGTGAATTTATCTCACAGAGTTACACCATTGCTTTCATTGAGAATTTTGCCATCACTGTTTTCGCAGAATCTTCAATGAGATATACGGGAGTGCATTGAGACCTGAAATATCCTCAGATAAAAACAAGAAAGAAGCTTTCTGAGAAACTACTTTTTGATGTGTGAATTCATCCCACAGAGTTATACCAGTATTTTGTGGAGCCGTTTGCTAGCACTGTTTTTGTGGAATCTGAGAACTGATATTTTAGATTGCTTTGAAGACTATACGGACAAAGGAAATATCCTCAGATAAAAACCAGAATGATGCTTTCTCAGAAACTGCTTTGTGATGTGTGAATTCATTTCACAGAGTTACACCATTATTCGTGCAGGAGTTCGCTAGCACTGTTTTTGTGGAATCTCAGAAGAGATATTTTTGTGTCATTGAATCCCATGGTGAAAAATGAAACATCCTAAGATCAAAACTGGAGAGATGCCTTCTCAGAAACTGCTTTGTTGTTGGTGAATTGAGCTCACACTGTTACACCATTCTTTTCATGGATCACTTTGTTAGCACTCCGTTTGGAGAATTTGAGATGGGATATTTCAGAGCCCAGTGAAGCTGATGGTAACAAAGGAAATATCCTCAGATAAAAACTGGAAAGAGGCCTTCTGAGGTACTGCTTTTTGATGTCTGTATTCATCAAAGAGAGTTATGCCATTCTTTTCATACAGCAGTTTACTAACACTGTTTTCATGGAAAATGCAGTAGGATGTTTGGGAGTGCTTTGAAGCCTATGGTGACAAAGGAAATATCCTCAGATAAAAACCAAAAAGAAGTCTTCAGAGAAACTGATTTGTGATGGGTTATTTCATCTCAGAGTTACACCCTTCTTTTCATTGAGCCTCTGCTAAAACTGTTTTTGTGGAATCTGCATTAGGACATTTGGGAGCACATTGAAGCCTATGGGGACAAAGGAAATATCCTCAGATAAAAACCAAAAAGAAGCTTTCTGAGAGACTACTTTGGAGGTGTCAATTCATCTCACAGAGGTACACGATTCTTTTCATGGATCACTTTGTTAGCACTCTTTTTGGGGAAACTGAGAAGGAATATTTTGGATTGCATTGAAGCCTACGGTGACAAGGAAATATTTTCAGATAAAAACTGGAAATAAGCCTTCTGAGATAATGCAGATAATGCTTTGTGATGTGTGAATACATCTCACAGTGTTACAATGTTATTTTCATTGAACAGTCTGCTAATACTGTTTTCTTGGAATCCGTAAAGGGATATTTCCAGCACATTGAAGCTTATGGTGACAAAGGAAATATCCTCAGAGAAAAACTAGAAAGAAGGTTTCTGAGAAATTGCTTTCTGATGTGTGAATTCAACTCAAAGCGTTATACATTCCTTTCATGGAGCAATCTGTTACCACTGTTTTTGGAGAATCTAAGAAGAGATATTTTGGATCACATTGAAGCCTATGTTGACAAAGGAAATATCCTCAAATAAAAGCTGGAAAGAAGCCCTCTGAGAAACGTCTTTGGGATGTGTGAATTCACCTCACAGAGTTACACCTGTCTCTTCATGAAGCAGTTTGCTAACACTGTTTTCATGGATTCTGCAAAGTGATACTTGGTAGTGCATTGAGGCCTATGGTAAAAAAGCAAACATCCTCAGATAAAAACTAGAAAGAAATTTTCTGAGAAACTGCTTTGTGATGGGTTAATTCAACTCACCAAGTTACATCGCTCTTTTCAGCGAGCAGTTTGCTAACACTGTCTTCATGGAATCTGTGTTAGGATATTTGGGAGTGCATTGAAGCCTATGGTGACTTGGAAATATCGTCAGATTAAAATTAGAAAGAAGTTTTCAGAGGAACTGCTTTGTGATTCGTTAATTCATCTCATAGAGTTACATTGTACTTTTCTTTGAGCAGTTTGCTAACACTATTTTCTTGGAATCTGCAATGCGATATTTCTTGGCACAATGAAGCTTACAGTGACAAGAGAAATATCCTCAGATAAAAACTAGAAAGAAGCTTTCTGAGAAACTGCTTTGTGATGTGTCAATTCATCTCACAGAGTTACACTTTTATTTCTTGGAGCAGTCAGTTACACCTGTTTTTGGGGAATCTGAGAAGGAATATTTTGGATCTCATTGAAGGATACACTGACAAAGGAAATATCCTCAAATAAAAACTAGAAAGAAGCTTTCTGAGTAACTTCTTGGTGATGGATTAATTCATTTCACATGGTTACATCACTATATCATGGAGCCGTTTGCTAGCACTCTTTTTCTGAAATCTGAGAACTGATATTTCGGATCACTTTGAAGACTATACGGACAAAGGAAATGTCCTCAGACAAAAAAACAGAATGAAGCTTTCTGAGAAACTGCTTTGTGATGTGTGAATTCATTTCGGAGAGTTACACCACCCTTTCATGGAGTAGTTTGCTAGTACTGTTTTTGTGGAATCTCAAAAGCGATATCTTGGATATCATTGAATCCTATGGTGAAAAACCGAATAT